CAACATCTGTGCCACAGCAACATCATTCCAGGCCTCTCCCTGCCAACCCTCCGCTTCTCCCAACAGCTCGAGGGGCACCACAACTTACCCTGGAGGGACAAAGGCTCCTTTTAGGAGCACCAGGAGCCATCTAGACTGTAGCACTGGAATTCCATCTCCTGGGCAAGATGGGAGAAGCAGGGAAGAAAACCAGGCCCTTACAGGTGAATTGGGGGCACCTCTTCATCCAAGAGCAGCTCCAATAAAGGTACTGAGTCAACACCTCACCAAAGACACAGGAAAACAAGTGCCAACACCACGACAATCACTTCAGTTTTCAACTGATAAAGCAACACGAAAGAAAAGCTTTTCAGACACTTGGGAAGAGTCCATCCCATTTTCACCAGCTTGTGGGACTCGTTCCCAGCCTCCTGAGGTTCATTTCCCACCTCACTGGGGGCTGCAGTACAGCTGGTTCTACACACACACACAGGGAGCTGCTGCTCCTGCATTCCAGTCTCCTGCTTCTCCTTGCAACTCCTCCAGCTGTTTGCCCAGCTCTCCAGTGCCCATTCCTTTGCCCACTGCACTTGTTCACAGCCCAGGGCTCCCAGGGCCACCCTGGGCTCTCCCCTGCCCTGACACTCAGGGCCCTTTCCCAGCCTGACTCTATCCAGCACTGACCCAGCTGCTGCACCTGCAATTCTCCTGCTCCTGCCCTCCCTCTGCCTGCAAAACACCCCTGCCAGCTCCTGCACCCCCACCTCTTACCTCCCAGACAACAGGAGCTGCATCCTCCTGGATCCTCCAGCTGGATGCTGCTGGCTCTGGGCAGCTCCCACCCTTCAGCAGGGGATGCCAAAGGCAGCTCTGGGGACTGTCCCGAGGGCAGGGACACCCACTGTGGCTCACACCAACACTCAGCCATCTCAGGCCTGGGCTCTTCTGCCTGCAGGGCAACAAACAGCCAAGCAGGGACACTGGGACACTCCAAGGAAACAGGGACAACACACTCAGGAGCCTGGGACACCACAGCCCCCAAACCTGCCCAGGCTCCAGCTGCTGCACAGACCTGTGGCCACACAGGACCCAAACCCACCCCCAGCACAGACAACCCTGGGCAGGTCAAGCTGCTCATTCCCCACCACGACCAAACATCCAGTGCCACTGTCTGTCAGCCCCTGCTCCAGCAATCAATCATCTTTGTCATTTGCTTTCTCTACAGGTCCTTGCATTCACCTTCTACTATCAAACCATGTTTAGCAAATTTAGCTGTTACTGCAACCAATCCAACTTGGCTTCTTAATTTTAATGGACACTGGGTTTGCCTTACCAGTACAATTGCAGCTGCCTCTTCAGTCAGGACCTTGCTGCTGAAAGGAGTTATTCCCTGCACAACAAGAGCTGCTGCTTGGACACACTGAGTTTCAGCAATTACAGTTTCAATAACCCTTTGTTTCAATTTCATTTCTGCCTCAACTTTTCCAACCAATCTCTTCCTAGCACAGGTTAGGGCAAGTTTGGCAAATAGAGAAACTGAGGAATTACCCAATGTTTTCCCAGTTTAACCCCTGTCACACCAATCACCTGAACACTGCCAGTCCTTCATTCTCCTTCTACTGTCTTAAGGACTGAGGAAGTTGGACCTGTTTCTGACCAGGACAGGTGCAAACCAAAGGCTGGGGACTGGAACACACACCTGGCACTCCTGCAGCTCTCACCATTACAGTCAAGAGAAAACAGCCAATTGGACCCTCACTGCTCATTTCTTAATCCCAATCCCACACTTCTTTGCACTTGGAGCACCACTTTTAGAACCCAATTGCAGCCCATTAGAGAGCTCCCTGTCTAGCAGGGACAGGGACCCCTGGGATACTCTCAGCAATGCCTGAATCCATGGCAGGGACCTTGCTTTGAGCTCCCCAGGGCCGGGCACCCCGAGGATCTCCCCGAAGAATCCTTTCGGTGCGCGCTGGAGTCCTCGGGGTGCCCCAACCCGGGGGGCACCAACAGCACTGTCCCTCCAGGGGGCCAATTTGGTCCTAAACTGCAGGGGGATCTTGCCTGTGTCCCAGACTGGTCCGGGGATCTGAGGCCCTTCCCGAGAAAATCTCGGTGCCGGCGTGAAGGGCCAGAGATCCCTTGGAGCCACGGGAGAGCAGGCACAGAGTCCCTCCTGGGGGCCAATTCTGCTGCCTGAAATCAGCTCTTCAAAGAAGCCTCTAAGACTCAGCGGGTGAGTTTTAGAAGCCAGGCATTCCTTGCTTACAACACCCTGCCATGATCCCAGCCCCACGGGGTGTCCTGGCAATCAGCTCCCAAAGGGCACACGGAGGTGTCTCCACTGCAGCTGATGGGAGGGGTCAGCATTACAGGAGGTTCCGTTTTTGTTCTCTAACCTGCATTCCTGTTCGATATTCAGGACATTTCTAACACTTATCACCAAACACCTACCCTTATAAGGTTTCCAAGGGCCTTCCCAGGTCTTCTCTGTCTGGAGCCCTCAAAGTCCTCAGTGCCTGCCTCAGGAACCTCAACACAACTCACCTGCTTACACAGGAACTTGGTGCTGCTTGGCTGATGCCTCAGTTCCCTTCTTCCTTCTTTCTTCACCTCCCTTGCTTGGTCCCTTTCAATCCCTTGGCTCAGCTCTGTGCAGTTTCCAGGATACATCCCACTGCAAAAAGGATTAGCCCTTGTTACATCTCAACACTCACATATCATTCCCCCTTTTTTCTTCAGACTTGGCCATTAGGCCAGTGTCTCCTTGTTTAAAGCATAGTTTGACTCCTCAGTGACAACAACTGACAGCCCTGAATCCTAACACAGGCTGAGACACAAACACAGATGGGAACTCTGAAGGATCCACTTTGTGCTGCTCACCAATCAAAAGCAGCTTTCTGAACTCAAGGAGAACATATTCTAGGTCCTTTTTCCTGCAACTTTACCTGCTATAAATGTGATCCACAAGACCTGCAAAGGCCCTTCCCACTTCCCCTGCAGGGCTGGCAGTGCCACCACTGGACACGGACCCAGGGGCTGGGCAGGAACGGAGGGGCTGGGGCGTCCAATCCATCGGCCCAGGCGGCACCAGGAGTTCCTGCAGTTCCTGAGGGGAGAGCCTCAAGCCAACAAAGGATTAGGAAGACCATTTGAAACTTCAATATGTATATCCCCTGGAATATGGGGAGTTGGACAAGGCCTACTGGGGCAACAAGGACACACTCAAGGCTATCTATTCAAAGGATCTACCAGCACTCAAAAGCTATCACTGTCCTTCTGTCAGGGGGAACTCAGCAAACTCTGTTTGCCAAGAGCCTCCAGGAGGATTTCCAGCTTCTGTGGTTCTCTTTTAACTATTTTTCCCATCACTTTAGCTGGGACTATCACCTGCCCTGCAGGGGGAACAGCCCACAAAGTTCACTTGCAGGGATGGCATTAACTCAAAGTCCCTTCTCAGGGGGGTCACTGCACACCTTGGCCTTTCTTTGCCCTCCTCACCAAAGATGCTGCCAACCGTTCTGACACATCTGGCACACCCAGAGCTCTCCTCAGGGAAGGCTTCAGCTGCTTAAAGGCTGCCCTTGCACCATCTAGCCAAGGCAGCAAACTCTTACAGGCTGTTGGAAAAGTTGGCATAACAGTCTTACCACACATCCAGAGGGAGCAATCCAGAGTCCAGCCAGTCCCACCATTCCCAGGAAGGCAGTTCAGGGGCTGTCTGGGGCTCAGGGAGGAGTCATGTGGCTTCTTTTCTTCCTTGCTGCTGTCCAGATTTTCTCCTGCAACAGCAAAGGTTTCTTGGCTTTCCTTCCTCAAGGAGATGCAGCAAAGGGCATCTTTTCAATCTCATACTGGAAACCACACCAGGTTGTCATTTCAGGGGGTTCTCTCAGGTCCTGCACTAATCAATCATCTTGGCCACTGGTTTTCTTGGCAGGTTCTTGCATTCACATCCTACAAGCAAACCAGGAGGAGCAAATTTAGCTGTTCCTGCAACCAATCCAAGCTGCCATTCTGATTTTAAAGGATACTGGCTTGGCCTTACCAGGAGAGATCCCAGATTATAGGTAATACCTACAGGTTCTGCCCTCTTCCCCTCTCCTGCAGTTCCACTGGCCCACACCACAGGAACAACTGCAGCTGCCACTTCAGTCAGGACCTTGCTGCTGACAGGAGTTATTCCCTGCACAACAAGAGCTGCTGCTTGGACACATTTAGTTTCAGTAATTATAGTTTCAATAGCCCCAGTTTTCAATTTCATTTCTGCCTCAACTTGCCCAATCCATCTCTTCCTAGCAGAACTTTGGGCAAGTTTGACTAATAGAGAAACTGAGGAATTACGCAATGTTTTCCCAGTTTAATCCCTGACACACCAATCACTTTAACACTGCCAGTCCTTAATTCTCCTTCTACTGTCTTAAGGACTGAGGAAGTTGGACCTGTGTCTGACCAGGACATGTGCAAACCAAATGCTGGGGACTGGAACACACACCTGGCACTCCTGCAGCTCTCACCATTACATTAAAGAGAAAACAGCCAATTGGACCCTCACTGCTCATTTCTTAATCCCAATCCCACACTTCTTTGCACTTGGAGCACCACTTTTATCACCCAATTACAGCCCATTAGAGAGCTCCCTGTCTAGCAGGGACAGGGACCCCTGGGATACTCTCAGCAATGCCTGAATCCATGGCAGGGACCTTGCTTTGAGCTCCCCAGGGCCGGGCACCCCGAGGATCTCCCCGAAGAATCCTTTCGGTGCGCGCTGGAGTCCTCGGGGTGCCCCAACCCGGGGGGCACCCACAGCACTGTCCCTCCAGGGGGGCCAATTTGGTCCTAAACTGCAGGGGGATCTTGCCTGTGTCCCAGACTGGTCCGGGGATCTGAGGCCCTTCCCGAGAAAATCTCGGTGCCGGCGTGAAGGGCCAGAGATCCCTTGGAGCCACGGGAGAGCAGGCACAGAGTCCCTCCTGGGGGGCAATTCTGCTGCCTGAAATCAGCTCTTCAAAGAAGCCTCTAACACTCAGCGGGTGAGTTTTAGAAGCCAGGCATTCCTTGCTTACAACACCCTGCCATGATCCCAGCCCCACGGGGGTCCTGGCAATCCGCTCCCAAAGGGCACACGGAGGGGTCTCCACTGCAGCTGATGGGAGGGGTCAGCATTACAGGAGGGTTCATTTTCCTTCCCTGCATTCCTGTTCTGTGTTCAGGACATTCCCAACACCTGTTACCATAAACACAAACCCTTATAGTGTCTCTGAGGGGCTCCATTGGGGGTCTCTCGTGGTCACCTGTGCTTGCATCGCCCAAAGTTCTGAGTGATCACCTTAGCAACTTCAAGACAATTTACCTGGTTTTAGAGGAACTTGGTGCTGCTTTGCTGCTGTTTCAGTTCCCTTCTTCTTTGTTTCTTCACCTCCCTTGCTTAGTCCCTTTAAATCCCTTGGCTCAGCTCCATGCAGTTTCTAGGGTACATCCCACTGCAAAAACTACCAGTTCTTGGTACATCTCAAGACTCAGATACCAGGGAGTGAGGCAGAAATCAACTAATCCAGGGCACTACCTCCAATACTGGGACAAAAATACCGTAACATTCCATGGCCTTCCTTGGTAAAGAAACACCAAACAGCTCAGACACAAACAATAACCTGCACACTACAACAATCTGGCACTGCTGGTTCAACCAGGCCAAGTCACTTGATAAATTACACAGGGTGAACTTTCTTCCCAGTTCCAGTTATGATACAAAAATCAGGGAGATCAGAGACTCCCCCATACAGTTTTACTCTGAGGAGAGAAGGAAACCAAGCCCATCCTCAGTGCTGCAATAGCTCAGGCTCCCAAAAAGGTCCAGGGGCTGTGCTGGGGCTTTTGGCTACCCTGGAGCACAGGCAGGAACACGATATCACCACCCCATGGGCACAGCTGAGAACCCAAAGAGCAGCCACACCAGCAGCTCCTGGAAGCCCTGCTGTACTGGGCCTTGGGGAGAAAGGGCACTGACCTTTCTGCCTAGGAGGAAAGAGCCTCCTTGCTGAGAACTTCTCCTGCCACAGGCATCAGCTCTGAAGATCCGCTCAGATGGGAAGTTGATCAAGTGCAACTTCTTGGAATGAGAAAGATTTCTGTTTCCTGGAATATGTCTTTCCAACTGAACTCAGAAGTACACACTAGAGGTTCAGGTGTTGCCTAAAATTTCTTACAAGAACCTCTAAGACTCAGCTGGTGAGTTTTAGAAGCCAGGCATTCTTTTATTATTATGCTCTTGAATCATTCCAGCCCGTCAGGTCCCTGGGAATCAGCTCCCAGAGGGCACACAGAGCTATCACCACTGCAGCTGATATGGCATCATTACAGAACAATTAATTTTTGTTCCCTGCATTCCTATTCTGTATTCAGGACATTTTCCAACACTTATTACCATACACACCTACCCTTATAAAGTTTCCGAGGGCCTTCCCAGGTCTTCTCTGTCTGGAGCCCTCAAAGTCCTCAGTGCCTGCCTCAGGAACCTCAACACAACTCACCTGCTTACACAGGAACTTGGTGCTGCTTGGCTGATGCCTCAGTTCCCTTCTTCCTTCTTTCTTCACCTCCCATGCTTAGTACCTTTAAATCCCTTGGCTCAACTCGGTGGAGTTTCAAGGCTACATCCCACTGCAAAAAGGATTAGTCCTTGATACTTCTCAACACTAAGTTAACATTCTGTCAGGTTAACTCCCATCAGTGTGATCCACAAGACCTGCAAAGGCCCTTCCCACTTCACCTGCAGGGCTGGCAGTCCCACCACTCGACATGGACCCAGTGGTTGGGCAGGAACAGAGGGGCTGGGGCGTCCAATCCATCGGCCCAGGCGGCACCAGGAGTTCCTGGAGTTCCTGTAGGGATGCCATTAACTCAAAGTCCCTTCTCAGGGGGGTCACTGCACACCTTGGCCTTTCTTTGCCCTCCCCACCAAAGATGCTGCCAACAGTTCTGACACATCTGGCACACCCAGAGCTCTCCTCAGGGAAGGCTTCAGCTGCTTAAAGGCTGCCCTTGCACCATCTAGCCAAGGCAGCAAATTCTTACAGGCTGTTGGAAAAGTTGCCATAACAGTCTTACCACACATGCAGAGGGAGCAATCCAGAGTCCAGCCCGTCCCACCATTCCCAGCAAGGCAGTTCAGGGGCTGGCTGGGGCTCAGGGAGGAGTCACGGGGCTTCTCTTCTTCCTTCCCGCTTGCCCCAGTTTCTCCTGCAAAAGCAAAGGTTTCTTGGCTTTCCTTGCTCAAGGAGATGCAGCAAAGGCCATCTTTGCAATCTAATCCTGGAAACTACTCCAGGTTGTCATTTCAGGGGGTTCTCTCAGGTCCTGCACTAATCAATCCCCTTGGCCATTGGTTTTCTTGGCAGGTTCTTGCATTCACCTTCTACAAGCAAACCAGGAGGAGCAAATTTAGCTGTTACTGCAACCAATCCAAGCTGCCATTCTGATTTTAAAGGATACTGGCTTGGCCTTACCAGGAGAGATCCCACATTAGGGGTAATACCTACAGGTTCTGCCCTCTTCCACTCTCCTGCAGTTCCACTGGCCCACACCACAGGAACAACTGCAGCTGCCACTTCAGTCGGGGCCTTGCTGCTGACAGGAGTTATTCCCTGCACAACAAGAGCTGCTGCTTGGACACATTGGTTTTTCAGCAAGGCAGCCCCAGTTTTCAATGGCATTTCATTGCTTACGCAATGGGTGGCCTTCCCTAGCCGAGAGAGGGGAAAGGAGACAAAAGAGAAACTGAGGAATTACCCAATGTTTTCCCAGTTTAACCCCTGACACACCAATCACCTGAACAGTGCCAGTCCTTCATTCTCCCTCTCTTGGGTTAAGGACTGAGGAAGTTGGACCTGTGTCTGAGCAGGACATGTGCAAACCAAATGCTGGGGACTGGAACACACACCTGGCACTCCTGCAGCTCTCACAGTCACATTCCAGAGAAAACAGCCAATTGGACCCTCACTGCTCATTTCTTAATCCCAATCCCACACTTCTTTGGCACTTGGAGCACCACTTTTATCACCCAATTCCAGCCCATTAGAGAGCTCCATGTCTAGCAGGGACAGGGACCCCTGGGATACTCTCAGCAATGCCTGAATCCATGGCAGGGACCTTGCTTTGAGCTCCCCAGGGCCGGGCACCCCGAGGATCTCCCCGAATAATCCTTTCGGTGCGCGCTGGAGTCCTCGGGGTGCCCCAACCCGGGGGGCACCCACAGCACTGTCCCTACAGGGGGCCAATTTGGTCCCAAGGCTTCAATGGACAGCCCAAAAGGCATTTCAAGACTCCTTCTTTGGAACCCACCAACGTGTACAGGTAGGAAGCCACAAGAAGGCCTCATTTCTAAAGGCAGGGGGATCTTGCCTGTGTCCCAGACTGGTCCGGGGATCTGAGGCCCTTCCCGAGAAAATCTCGGTGCCGGCGTGAAGGGCCAGAGATCCCTTGGAGCCACGGGAGAGCAGGCACAGAGTCCCTCCTGGGGGGCCAATTTGGCTGCCTGAAATCAGCTCTTCAGAAAAGCCTCTAAGACTCAGCTGGTATGTTTTAGAAGCCAGGCATTCCTACACACTAAGATAGTTTGGGAGCTTTCTGACTGAAAAAACATAAAGCTTTTATCAGGGACATCTGACCTCCAACAGACAGCTCCTTTCCACTTTCAGTACAAAATTATTTTCATGGAATCATTTAACAGGAAGTGCTCAGGAACCCCAGGCTGTGCTTTCCAAAACAGAACATAAACAGAGGGAAGGAGCTTTGCACAAGTGTAACACGCTCCAGAACAGATCTGACTTTAATTCTCTTCTTTGTGTTCAAAAATAGCAGACAAAACTCCAGCAGGAGAGCTGGCACATTACCCATGGTACCCTCAAAGTCCCTCTCATGAGGGCTGTAGGAAAAGCACAGCTGTACGAGTCCCTTGTGCCTGCAGATGCCTGGGGATCCTTTCCATCCACCTCGTGCTCTCCCAACAGGAGAAAGGGTGACCTCAGGGACACGGTGGCACTCGACATCCTGCTGAGAGAGCAAGGAAACCTTTAGCATAAAGCTTGGGAGGAATCCAAAGCTTCCTTTGCTGGGAGCTTTGTGCAACCAAGAAGGGGAAAATTTGCATCTCCTTTGGTGCAGATGTCAAGAGAGACCAACAGAGCTTTTGCCTTTTTCAGACAACTGTGCCCTTTTTGGCTCCCTGGCAGCTCCAATGGCACCAGAACCCCCTTCCTGCACACCCACGGCTGTCACACACAGCCACCCACACACCTTTGCTCCAGCCCACACGGGGCCAACATTTCCTCACCCTGCACATCCCAAGGTAAGTATTCTTGCTAGAGAGCAAAGCAACCCCCTGTCCTTGCAAAAAGGAAACCAGTTTTCCTGGACATTTCTCCAACACTCAAGGTCTTTTGAAGCTGCTCTCGTGGCACCAAACCTGCTCGGGGTCTCTCCCAGCTGTTGGCTCTCCGTGGAGTTAACAGGCACACACTCCATTCCATCCTCCCCCAGCCAAACCCAATTCTCACCGGCAGGACGGGCCCTGCCCTTACCTGTCCAAGCTCCCAGCTCGGCACAGCCGTGGGGACAGAGCAGCTTCCCAAGGCAGCTCCCGCCCGGCAGGAAGCACAACTCGCCACACTCCACCAGCCGCTGGGCACGGACCTGAGCTGAGCCCCAGGGAGGGCACGGCTGGACAGAGAAGGAGCAAAAAGCATTAATGCAGCACCGAGAAACTGAGACCAGTCTTTGCCTCCTAACCCTGCACGGGGAAAGGCTTTGGGATTCCGAAGCAAACCCTGAGACACCCAGAGAGCAACAGCCCCGCAGCCCTGCAACGGCTCCCCCCGGGGTTACCCGGCAAGTAACGGGCTTACCCGGCCCCCGCTGCCCAGCACAACGCGCCCCTAAACGCCCCCCGGCTCCCCCGGTCACAAACCCAGCGGCCAAGGCGCTCTCCCCTCCGCAGCCCGGGCAGCAGCGGGGCCGCACCCTCAGCCCTCACACGCAACCGCCCGCACCCGCCCCGCCGGCCCTTTATACCGCGGCCCGGCAGCGCTGCCCAATCAGCGCTCGAGCGCCGCCGCCCAATCCCAGCCCGCCCGGCCCTGCGGCCCCGCCCCGCCCGCTCAGCCCGGCCCCGCCCCTCGGCGCGGCCCCGCCCCTGAGCTGGAAATTGTCAATCTGCCAAAGCAAACTTATTGAGTGATCATAAATCCTGACCCTGAGTATGTAACTGGAATTGATATTTTAAAAGTGCTGGCTTTACACTTACCTGATGGTAAGTATCAGTTTGGACATATATATTTCAAATAAAACCATTAACAGTAGCAGAAACGCTCCCATACTGAGAAATGAAGGAGGGAGCTTTAGCACCTTATCAAGCAACTCCAGACACTGCAGGATTAGATTTGTATGCTTTGCAAAGTTACAGACAGGAACATCTGCCATTGATACTGGTATTGAAACGTGTTCCTTCTGGCTATTTTGGTTTGATAGCCCCAAGGTCCAGTTTAGCAATTAAAGGCATTCAATAATCAGAGTGATTGATTCAAATTATAATGGGGAAATTAAGGTGATTTTTGTTAAATAGAAGAGATCAAGACATTTTAATTAAGCCACAAGACCAGATTGCCCAAATGTTAATTTTGCCAGTGTTGAAAACAAAAATAAGGGGGAGGCTTCACAAACAGCTACAGTTGGAGGGAACCAGCAGTTTGGATCTACCAACTAAGTGAATTGTGGAGCTAAAGTTTGGGTCCAAAACCTCAATGGTCCACCCGAGGCAGCTGAAAGCATTGCCACTGGAACAGATAATATGGTATCAGGGATTAAATCCAGACAAGGAAATGGGAATATGATCCTGCAAATAAATTTGAATTGAGGGTATGATATTGTCATGTTTTAGTTCTATATCTTAGAGAACTTATGGATCCTGGCCATCCTCGTATGCCTTATGGTCCCTTTGGGTGACCTGTTACCCCAGGAAGTTCCCTGGAAAAGGTAAAAGGGTTGGATGACTTCGTTCCATTTTGGGAACAAAGGGCCGGTGCCTGAAGCAGCAGCTGTGCTGTGTTCTGTCTGTGGTCACTGAGGGTGTGATATTTCTTTTCTCCCTTTCTTGGTGTAAGCCATGCTGGGTTTGCCTTCTGAATGACGCATTTGTTTGTTTTCCCTGTTATATAACCATTTCTAAAGTTTTGTTAAGCGTTGTGACACTTTTGCCAAGCTTTTTCATGACCCTCATATGCATGAATTGAAGTGAAATGAAAACAAGACAATTGCCACATATTTCTGGCCTCTCCTGTGATTGATTTTTTTTTTTTCAGTCCTATTTCCATGTTTCTCTACTTAATAGTACTAGCCCTTTTACCTGAGTTCCTTGCTGTGATCATAATCTATCTAGAAATTAGCTCTTCGAGAAGTATCCCACTGGTAAACTGATTTCTTTTTTTTTAATATAAATGGGCCCTGTTTGAGGATATGTTTCAAGTGCAAAGACCGTGGGATCTCCACCTGCTCCCTGCCTGCATTGATATTGTTGAGGATACCACCATCAGTTTAAACCTGACTCATGTTAGCCAGGACAGCCCTCAGAATTCACTTGTTTTCAAGCTGAGTTCAGGGATTTTGGATGTGTCCTGTTGGTGCAGGACAAGGGACTGTTTAGTAAAAGCTGCGTGGCTATACAGGTTTTTGTTGGGGTTTTTTTTTTGCATTATTTAGTCCTCTTTCCCACTGTGCAAAGAGAAGATAAGAAAGGGATAGTGAACTAATAGCTGAGAAATCGCATATCACCTTTTCTCTAGCTCAGCCTCGGCAATTTTTCTCCTACGGTCTGTTTTAATGAATAATTTATTCTTTATGACCTCTGCTGTTCTTAAAGGAATTTCCTTTAAGCTGGCCCTTCCAAGCCTCCCAAGCCGGGGTGCCGGCCGCGAGCATCCCCTGCTGCTCCTCGAACTTCCCAGCGTCGCCAGTGGGTGACTCCCTTGGCACTGCTTAGAATACTCGGAGGTCTGCTGGGAGACGGATCGTTTCCTCGTCTTGAGTTCTGCTGAGGTTTAGCTGCATTTAAGGAAACAAAAATAATAATAGTAAAAAAAAAAAAAAGCTTAAAAAACTAAACCACTTTCCTTAATATCACCTGTTCTTAATATTTTCCTAGAAAGAAGCGTTTTAGGCTCCAGGATCTAAAATAACAAATGGAGAAACTGAGAACCTTTTCTTGTTCTCAAGGAATGATGTAGTTCTGGTAATTTATCTCGCTGCACACGTCCCAGTCAATGACCCGAGCATTCACTAAGGAAACGTAGCTGTGGCACAAGCAACAGGGCACAGCTGCCAAGCTGCACTGGGATGCACTTGATCCCACGGGTATTATTTAGCTCCTCCCAGATGGACCAGTAGGGAACAGAACATGAATTAGACTCTTGAAACAAAGTTAGCAAGTCCACAACTTAGCAGGCATACAAATGCCTCTGCTTATCCTTGCTGTTTTTGTAGCAGCTACACAGAGATGTCATGATGTTGTTGTCACTGCAAGAACAGAAGAACTTTTTAAAGTACCAGCTTTCTTCTTTAGAGAAGAGCTGCAATATTTATCAAACAGTGCAGAGCTGGAAGAGCAACTTCGTGGAAATACAGTTTCTCAGTCACTGATTTAAAAAAACCAGAAACATTTTGCACTGTTACATTTCGTGGATTTTTATTTTATTTTTTTTTTTTATTTTGTGATAGGAAATTATTTACGGACTGCAAGTTTGAGGAACCCGAACTTAAAAGTGTCTTCTTCATTTGTTCAGTTTTGCTTTTAATTTGAGATCTGCTGAGACTATCACAATGTCAGCTGTGGTAATTGAACTGGATAAGATTTCTTCAGATGAGATTGAGAGCAAAAAGTATTCCAAGCCAGATTTTACGGAATGCAAATTCAGTGAATCATGTGCTGATCATCATGGTTTTCAACTTCACTGTTCATGTTCTGCTCCAGCTGGTAAGCATGCATTTATGTAACCTATTTCTTCAAATCTCTGTCTAGTTACTCATGTAACTTGTTGCAAGTAAACTGTAAGACCCAACAAGAAAACATAAGATTTGCTGCTGTCACATGCATGCAGTATATGAACTAATTTTTACTTCAGATAATGGGTAGAACGTGTGTTTGTTTTAAAAAAAAAAAAAAAAATCAGTGTCTCCTGAACCCTCTAGCCCATGGGATACTGCCAGAAAAAAAATCCAGGAGAGACAGGCATTACCTGAAGATGAGCTTTTTGTGTAAGTCAGAGCAGCCCCAGCTGCTTCTCTGATGTGAGACTTGGCAAAGTGTGTCCATAAGCTGTGCTCTTTAGTGCTTGGCACTGTGGCTCTTCTACTGTTTTATTCTGGGTTTTTATCACATCAGGGTTTGTAAAGAGGTAACTGCATATTGCTTGGTTTTATTTCATGGCAGGTGTTATGTATAGATACAATAGCTCCACAAAAATTGATTTTTGTGAGCATCATGAAACTTTAATTTCTCCAAAAATGTCATATTCATGAAAAATACAGAATGTAGCTGTCTTGGATTGTCTAATGTAACTAAGGGGACACATCTGCAGTTATCCAATGGGATCTCTGTTAATCCCTTCAAGTCTTCTTAAGTATTGGATGGTTACTCCCCTCAGAAATACCTTCTGAGGATGGCAACTCTGATTTCTGTATTTTGACTTCCACAACCCCAAAGGAATAATTTGATTCTGATCATGTTTCTACTTGCTTATGGCCCTTGGAACAAAGCCCAGACAAGACAAATGGAGAATATCTGAGTGTGATTGACACTTTATCCTGTGACAGGACAACCAACCTGCAGTGGAAGTCTGCACCTTTCAAGCTGGCTAAAGTATGTGAATATATGAATAAAACTAATATTTTTAATCCTGCAACAAATGTTTGGAACATTTTTCACTTAAAAATTCAGTTCTTACACATTAGAATAGCCAAATGTTTGGGATGTTTCTTTTGCAAGGAAAGCAGTTGACTTGTACACTCCATAATGGAGATTTTCTAATTTCACTTCCTATAAAACCTTCAGTAAATTTTGTAAGACAGAATTTTCTCAGTAGATGCCCTTTTGAAAGCTTCTCTTGCATGTCAGCAGATTTGCCAGGTCAGAAATCAGGTGCCTGTCTGTTTCCCTGGGAATGGATAACATAACTTTTAAAATACCTCTCCTACCCCATAGAAGTGTCATTCAAGGGTTTATGCATGTGCTAGGTGATTTGCTCTGCTGTGTTCCCTAAATATCAAAGTAACCTTTTCAGTCTACCTGGTTGATCAAGAATAAAATGAACTTTCGGCAGGAGCAGCATGTTTGTGGAACTAAACCATTCAGAGTTCTGCCCAAGGGAGATAATAGAAACCCAAATCTCCTTTCTCAGGTTTTTCCATTCAGAAAAATAATAATTTTGTTTTGAAAATAATTTTTTCTTTTATTTTTTGCAAACACTCTTGAAGCAGAAACAGTGCTAGCAAACATCTCTGACAAATACTTTGTCGGAGTTTGAAGATTTCCTTGGTTTATGTTTTTGCATCATGGGAAGAATCAAATAAATGCTGATACATTGTCTTAGTGTTTTGGTTTTTTTTTTATGAACGATCATCATTTGCTTCTAAAATTTTCCTTGACATATGTATTTTACCAGTCTTTTAGCAAGCCCTGCGTAGTTTCCAGTGTTGTGCTGTGTTGGCTGAAATCTGAATGGAGCATTGTCAACAAATCTTATTTGGTATCCACATGTCTTTTCCTAAAAGGAACTCCTACTTGCTCAGCCATGGCAGTTGATAAAAATAAACTGATCTTGGTTATAGTACAGTAACAGACCCTATTTCTTTGAGCAGACTATTTCCCAACAATGCTATTTCACAGGCAAAAGAAAAAATTCAAGCTATGGAAATTAACTGAACTTTTGCTCTTAGAATTTAGCTTCGGGTTTCTTTGTTTTTGTTTTTGTTTTTCAAATAGTAATAACAGTATGAAAATCTTTAGTGAAACCAGCATCCTACATCAGGGTGCTGTCCTGAGGTTTGCTGGGGTTGGCTTCTCTGCCCCATAGGGATCCACCTCTACAATTGCAACCTTGGGAATCCTACATTTAGGCTCAATTAATTTTAAATTTTCAATTTTTTTTTTCTTTAAAAGAATTTAATGGACTCACCTAAAATTATCTGTATCACCAAAAATGATAGTAGAAGGTACATAAGCTATGAAAACATGAAGCACTCAGTGTTAACCTACAGAAAAGCCGCAAAAGAGAACACATCCTTTTTCTTCTGTTCAATTTGCTGTTCACAGTACTGTTTCTTTTGAGAGGTTTATTGTTTAAAATGTACTATATTGTGCTTGTAATATGATTTTTTTGGTACATAAAGCAGAGAATTCAGTATAGAGAGATTTCACTTAATAAACACTATTCATGTAGTTATGAGTGCAACTGATGTGTAAATTTTAAACATATGACCTAACATATAACCAACCATAGAAAAGTGAACACTCTGAAAAAGTAAAATGGTATCCTGAAATACACTCTGATGTTCTCAGAATGAAAAGTGGAAATGCTGCTGGGACAGAAAAATATTAACCATATATTTATTTTGCACCTGCTTTAACCCAAGCCCGTTGCAATAAGATGTAGATGTTACTCTCCTACATATCTCTTTTAAAAGGAGAAACAATATAATTATAAATAAGATTAACTTTCTGCATCTCTGTTTTCAATCCTGATGCAAGCACCAATCCCGAGGCGTATTGTTTGGGCACCTGCACATATGTCAAAGTGCATTGCAGAGAAATAATACTAGAATAAGAACTGCAGTGTTGGCAAGTTAATATGCTGCGTAGAGAGCGCAGAATTTTTTTCTTTGTGGACCATTGCTGAAATCTTTAGGGATTTATCACTTGCAGAATAATATTGAGATATCAGTTTAAGAGGTGAGATGCGTGGCTAAGGTTGGTCGATGGCTGTCCCAGGAACAGATCAGTGACCGGTGTTGGCTTCCATAACACTTGGGTTACCTGGACTCTGGGTGAAAGTCTGAATGGAGCAGTGATACTTTAGACATAGCAGATTGGTATGTCTAAATGTGGGATTGGTAAGTTTTTAGAGGTGCCAAGCAGTCTTTAAGAAAATCAAGCTAATTTTGATTTCTAAGCTACTTAAAGGAAGAATTTTTAATACAATGTATAGCATGAATGCCAGTGTCACAGCCACAGCAGTTTGTCTTCACCAGTGGAAAACAGGCTGTTCACAGTATAGAAATATAGAACCATTTCTCAGCAGTATTGGCCAGAGTAGAGTTTTCTCCAGGACCTGGTGTATTTGCTATTCAGAATTCTCAGAGGCAGCAAAACTCATATGAATATTGCAGATGTAAATATTTGTGCAGATTTAAAGCTTATTATCTCTGATATATGCTATTCTGCTTCATCTCTTGTTGGTCTGGAAATGACTGAAAACATTCAACCTACAATAATGATCTTTCTCTCTTAGTCTTTGTTTTATGACTGTAAGACAAATCATACTTACGTAAGTTCTCCTACATGTTCCTAGAGATAGTTTTGTTCTAGTAACTCTTGATCAAGGATAAAGAAACTTCTTAAAAATATATATTAAAAGAAAAAAAAACCAAACTATGAGCCATAAGTAAGGTATAGCATAACCAGTATTGGTTGAGTCTGAGTGGAACACTCAAACTGTCCTGAGATGAGACATATGAAAAATCACGTGGGTTTGACTCTGTGACTTCTGATAGAATGGTACAAAGCTAGAAAAACAATTATTACTTGCCTTTTATGGAGTTCTTTTACTGATGAGATTTTGGGGGCATCTTTTGTGGTGCTTGCAGGTGGAGAGAAATGGGGAAGAACATATTTTTTCATACAGGGATGGAGACTGGGACTCAAATTTGTGACATATGTCCTTGGTCTTTAGTACTGGCAAGGGTCGTTTTTTTTGCTACTCAGCCTAAAGATGTACTATGAGCTGCACTGGAAGACCTGTCTCTCTTTGGCATTACTCTCTGTAGCAAAATTTCATTAATAATACACAAAATGAGCCTGTAGCTAATGAATAATTCAGAGTTTGCAGAGAGGCCTAAAATACTGAGGCATTCACCTCTGCCCCCGGAGGTCACGACTTCTATGCTCGCATGGCTTGGATAAATGGAAACTAAACTGAATATAGAAATTTAATTTTTCCAGAAGCATCATTCCTCTTCTGTACTCTTCCTTCATCTAATGAGCTACTTACTTTCAATGGAGAGTGGGGTAGATCATCTAACTCTGAGTAATGACACCAACGATTTATAATAGTGGATATTATTCCCCAAAGTACCTCGGTAGCTACAGAAGTATGTCTACATAAAGATTATGCTGAACTCACAGGCACTGCCAAAACTTTCTTTGATTTGAAATCTGAAGTCAATACTTACAAAGCAGATGAGTGCAGACTTGGTAACAAAGGTCAAAAAAGAGGAGCAAGAGTGAAGTCTGAGCAGTCTTCCTATAGTACAGTATATCTCATACTTGCAAAGCCTGAATACAGCAATGAAATGCTTGTATCTTAGCTGTTAGAAGTGGGTCTGCATGCTTAAGTCCTTTTTATTTGAATAGGGAGCATAAATTGATAAACAGGGCTCCAGTATATTAGAGGATGCAAGATGACTCAGTGTGGATGGGGAAGTCACTGAGTTATTTCAGGTTTCTTAAATTTTAAATCTTGAGTTATGTGTCTATATGGAATTGTAACAACATGTTTCTACAAAAACAAGTCTAAAGTGAGCCTTATAAGTAGAATGGACTGATGGCCATGTATCAATAACTTTGGTAAGTAAAGGATATTCTTGTGCTTGTATCTCATCTTTGAACACAGACTTTACTAGAAATTCTGATGGCTATGCCTAGACAATATGCAACGAGAAAACAAATGATGTTATTTAGTAATTTGTATATAAGTTACT